AAGATCGTCTGTTTAAATTACATATTTGCGGTGATTCGAATTTGGTGTACTGAATTCTATGGTGTAGATTCCGTATTGTTGTGTTAAATTACATATATCTCTCAGATAATGTTCTATAATTTATCTTTTGATTTTTACATCTGGGAATTTTGTTTTGCATGGGCTGATTCCGGGTTCAAACAAATTTAGGAGTAAATTCTTGCAAAAGTCATGCTGTCCTCTATTATCGGGTGCATCTACGAGGAAAGGGTAAATATCGTCGTCATCTGGACTATCGTCACTTTGAGTGTGGCTGTGGCTCATTTTTTCGTTTAATGACTGTTAATATGTAACTATCGATGTGTCTAATTGGTTGATTCCAATTATACAAGTGTACTGGTTTGTGTTAATATTGCTTTTTTATTCTTCTTTTTCCTCTTTTTGATGAATTTGAAGTTGTTTCTGAGTCGAAAAAAAATATAATTGATCGTGAGTGGGACAATTTTTATCAATTGATTGTTTTAAGTTATAAAATTCATCTAAATTGCTGGCTTCTGATTCTGAAAATGCGTTTCTATTTTTTGAAAATCTTTTCTGTGTGATTTGTCTTTGTTTGTTTATTATTTTTCTTTTTATTGTTTGTCGTTTTGTTCTAATATATCCAACTGTTTGTGTATGAGGTGTGATTACAAGATCATATTTTTTGTTATCGATTTCACAGTTGTGTAAAACGATTGTTTGTTTATTTCCTAGATTTTTGAATGACATAAGGTTTAGGATGAGGGATGCAAAAAGTTGTTAGATGATTTCTGCTTTCTTAAACTGTTAGTCCTTACGATTTTTTGGTTAGCTTAACCTGGGTCTAATTGTTCAGGGTTGGAGAGAAAAGTATATCTATTCCGAAGAATGATTTCTTACTTTCTCCTGGCTAGTATAAGCTAAGGTGTTAACTTACTTAATTTTACTTAGGGGTAGTGATTGTGTTCAAGGGTTGGAGAATAGTAAATCGATCCACAAGGTTCAGGTATAATTAGAACGCGAGTAGTTCGTTAGATACTATTTTAAACTTACTAAGTCTAAGATTTATCCTGGGTCTGGTAAGAGGAGGGTTCAAGTGATGGATGAATAGCCGAAGTTCTTCACTGTTTATCCTAATTTGAATGGTTAGTTTTGTTGAAAAATATCTATTAGTCTTGGGTTTTTTGGAAGGGTTGGATAGTGAATCGACGTTTGAGGTCGTTAGACACTTGCTAAGTGGGTGGGGGAGAACAAAATTGTTCTTTTTGATCCAAGGATAGGCCTTGATGATCAGGTTTTAAATTTAGTGAAATAGAAAATTAATTAAGATCCAAGGATAATCCTTGATGATCTGATTTTAAAATTAAGTGAATTTAAGTTTAAAATGGTTTAAATTTATTTAAGAAAAAGATTTTGTTTTTTAATGATATTAGTGAACTTATGATTGCTGTTATGTTTAGGTGATGAAGCTGGGACTACAGATGATTTTATGATTACTAACAATTTATTGTCATGCTACTAATTTTTGTTTTGATTTTCAATAAATATTTTCCAAACATGTTTTATATAATACTGCAGAATTTAGGAAAACGATCTGAGATCTTTTTATCAATCGTTATTGTATATAAATAATTTTGTTTAGCGCCTGAAATGATTATGAAGATTGACTTCAAGATTTTATGTTTGCAAATGAAAATCTAAATTCATTGCTAATAAAATTCTAAATATAAACGTTTGTGTTGGCTTTTGCCGTACTATCATATAACTATATGGTAAGTTTCTACTTTGTCGTATGTCGTCTCTGGTTCGAGGTCTTCTTACGATTCCGGGTAGTTCTGTTATCGTTCGGAATATTGGCTCTGATCTATTGAGTCGTAGAGACATTTCGATTAAATTATCGTCGTATAACATTTTGAAAATGTTTTGTCTAAATTCTAATCTATTTTGGGTTAATTCTAAGCTATTAAGGTCTTGTTCGAGACTTATGGTCGCACCAGATGAGTTAGGACCGATGTGGTTAACTCATAGAGTAATTTCGGATAGGGTACACCGTCTGCTCGTCACGCTATCTTATTTTCGGCCGGATAGATTCGTGCAACTTCTTAGTCTAATCTTACTCTTATATTATCTAGTCTCAGGTTGTTTAACTAGTCTCTGCTAGGCTCAATAGATCTAGGGTATACTGGTTTATTGCGGCTGCTGAAGTTCTCTTGGAGAGGCAACTAATTTCTAAGTTGAATTCAAATCTCTCTGGTGCTGAAATTACAAGTAATTTTAGCACTTACAAATAAGTGGGTTGTTAGTTAGATGGATCATGATTGGTTAATATTAAATACTTTACAGTGGTAAAAAATCTATTTTATCCAATCATAAAATATAGTTTAGATCAGGTTCCATTACGGCTGACATTTTTTACCTTTCTCATTCATTTTACGTCCCTCCTCCTCTTCTTGTCACCCCCCCCCCTATGTTTAGCCCTTTTTAGGCCAATCACTACATCCACACCCATCAAATTTATCCTTTCCCCCTGTTCATTCATCTCCCCCCATCCTGAGTTAACCACCTCCCCCCGTGTGAGGAGAGGGGGGCTCATTCGTGGGGTGGTAAGCTTAGGGAGGTAATAAAAGTGAGGGGTGTAGGGTAGGTGAAAGGGTGTAAATGTGTTAGATGGGTCGTGGGGGCGTGGAAGGGTGGATAACCTTAGACGGTATGGGAGTGTGAAAGAAGGGGAGGATTTCGATCTTCTAGGGAGGGGGAGGGGGAGGGGTTGTTGTACACAAGAACACAAGAATGAACAAGTTTGATTGGGGTCCTAGTCAATTATCCAATCAGAGCCTGAAAACACGTTTTTAACCTGTTTTTTTTTGTTTCAAAAAATTGCCTGTGGTGCAAAAACTTTAGTGAAAACTGGATCTTTATAGTGATTCGGCAGAGCTCAGAAAATAAATAAAACCGACAAAAATTGACAAATCCAGCAAATTTCTGAAAAAAAGGTGGCAGGCTTATTGTCGTTTCAATTTTGAGTCTATTGATCTAGTTTTTCTACATGACAGAAAATGTTCAATTTTTTTTCATTCAAGTTTCCATTGATATAAAATCAAGCCAAGCCAAAAAATTACTTCATCAATTATCAAAGATAGCTGCAAGAAAATAGCTGAACGTAAGCTAAAATAAACAATTTTAGGCTAAATTAGGCACAGAGTTTTTTCGTTTTTATTAGGTTTGAGGTATAAAAGCTAGAATGGCTTCATGCATAATTTAAATATGTAATTTGAAGTGCTTTTATTATGATTGAAATTATTTTTTGTCTGCTGGCGTGTTTCAAGTTTTTTTCTACAATTTATTTCTGTGCAAAATTAGATGTCACTAAAAAAATTCGAGTACTGGATACTATTGATTCATTGATAGGTAGAAACAAAATATTTTTTTACAAAAGGAACATTTCAGAACTTCTAAGCAGTTTTTTCTGTGTCAAAAGTTCTCTGGTTTGAAATTTTTGCGCTGTTGTTGTTTTTTTCGAACGAGTAAGGCAAGCGAGCAAAATTTATACCAGGCGGATAATTTTTTAAGCTTTGAAATTGTTATCGGTTTTTGAAAAAAAAATTTTCGAAGTTTTCTCGAGCGTTTGCATGGCATTACAATTTTTTTATCAAAAAAATTGCTAAAAAATGTTTGAATTTTTTTCGTTTTTTAAAACAAAAATATAGCCCATTAAGGTTCTTTTACCAACGTTCTAAGTGCTTTTTCAATTCTCCTCGCAACGCAAAAAAGTAGTACGAAATTGAAAAAAATCTGGTCGGAGTTTTCTTTGCTGCTCTACTTGACAGCAACCTGCAGCTTTCCCCTTAAATATTACGGTTTTCTATTACCAAGGTGATAATTTAGCAAGGAGAGCCCGCTACTGTGCAAATAGCCCAGAATGTGCCGACCATAGTCTTAAAAAAAAGGCAACAAAACTTTTTTTTACATTAGGGTCGTTTATTGTTTTAGATCTGAACAAGAAATTAAGAAATTAAATCTTGGCCATAGTGGACTAGAAAAACAAAAAATAACCAAAAAAATGGTTGCAAATTTTCAAATTTTTTAAAATAAGTTTTTGGTTTCGAAAACGTCAAAAAATTCATTTTGCTTGCGCAAAACTAAGTTTTCACGGCTTAAGTTAGGCTATTGTAAGCTGTTAATTTATTTAAAAAATCCTAATTGCTCTCTTATTTTGCTCAAATTGAGAAAAAAAACCAAAAGTTATATACCTTTTTTCTCGATACTATGACAACTTTTTGAAAGTTTATTAATGTTTTTCATTACGAGGCCAAACTGTGCATTGTGTGAATCATAAACGGATTCCGAAACAGGTCGAAAACAGAACTGTTGCGGAATCCGCAAAATGTCTATTTTTTGTTTGCTCTTTTTTGCTGTTTTGGATTTCACTGACAAATAGCTAAGTCACTGTATTGCTCAAAATCGCTTCAAAAAGAGGTCTTTTTGTAGAACCCACAACAAATTTTGTGGAATCTGCAACAAAATTTGGGGAAAAGGGAACAGTTTGTGGAATCCACAAATATTTACCAACATATGTAATTAGTATTATATTTAACCTGTCGTGGAATCCGCCTCTGTAAGTGGAATCCGCAGATTGCAAACAAAATCGGCATAAAATTGCGGAATCCACTTACGTTATGATAACATGCTTAAAGACTTGTCTCTAGAGTACAGGAACATCCAGACACAAATTGAGCGCCTATCCAGTGCACAGTTTGGCCTCGTAATGTTCGGATCACGACTGAAAGAGTTTTATTATAATATATCACTCGCCCCATTCTATGATAATTTTTTGTGCTTGATTATGCATGAAAAACAAAAAAAAAACTAAAATACACCTGAATACAAAATTTCTCACCGTTGTTTAAATGATTGGAACAAAAACAAAAAAAGATATCGGTTTAAGTTAACTTTCAAGTAATTTTCTTAATGCATATTTTCAGCATATATGAATCTTGCTTTAGACATCGAACATGAAAATTCAACATGCGTGCAAAATGGTAGTCAGTTACGGAGTCAGACAATCATACCAGGAACTTCCTATTAAGGAGAGTGAAAGGGACGTGTCGCAAAGAATAGAAACCGAAATTTCCCTCATGTGAGTTTTTGATCAATTTTTCCAAGATTGTTTTAAAATTTAGTTTTTATTTTCGACTGCATGTTATCGAAAGTCGAATTAACCTTCAATAAATCATCAGGCAAGATCACCCGCATTGGTAACGCAAGGATTGGAATCAATTTAATGAACAAAAATTATTATTTAGGGACAGATTTAAGGGGAGGGGCGAACGTTCCCTCCCTCAGGGATTCGACCCACTGCCGACCCAAAGGGTCCCCTATGTACTATTTTGAGATATCCATTTGCGGCTGATGGACCCTAAAACTTTCGAAAAGCGCCTTTTTCGTAATATTTAATAATTCTGAGGGGGAAGCGCGCGCCGAAAAAGCGCAATTTTTGTGTAAAAGTTTCGAAAAAGTGCCTAAAAACGCCTATTTTGGCCTGTTTTTTCAACGTGTTGCCTACAGTACAAAAAATTTGGCCAAAACAGTCCTTTTACGCTTTTGGAGAACTCGGAAAATCAATTTGATCAACCTAAAGTAGAGTCGACAAATTTTTCGAAAATTTTTTTGAAAATCCCCCCTCAAGAGAAAATCCTAGATCCGCCCCTGTCCTCATCTACATGATTAATGTAAATCAGATCTCATTCACGTGGCTACTTGAAAAATGTAAATTTCTAATCGTGCTTGTTTTATGTCATTATGAATTTGCATCTGTAATACATATTCCTTACATCATTCATGATGAAAAATTACTGAAAAAGACCTGAACTTTTTTAATTTTTCTTTTTTACTATCCATGACAAGGTTTGTTTTTTGAACAGGAAAAATATTTTGGTGAAGGAGCGTGAACTGAAGGAAGCCCAGTGCCGCTACTCTCTATTCATGGCAGAAAAACGTAGACTACTCAGAGAGGGCTACTGGTGACACACATACAGAAACATCCGGACACTTGCTCTTAGGACATTAAATAGCGTCATGGTACATTCCAGACATGGTACATCTTATGACTTCAGAAACCACGACAGTAGAAAAAAGCGCAAAAATTTCGACGTTACAGAAGCCCAAAAGACACCATGGTGTTCAAGAAAAAGTCTTGATAATTGTTCACACTAAAGTTTAATGTTTCTTGGTTTGTCTTTTGATTTCATTTTAAGTTCAGTTCATTTCCTTTGATAAAACGAGGGCAAACTCCACTATCAAACAGTAAAAGTGTAAAAGTCATGAAAAACGTGATCCACTTCTAGTTTCGAAAGTGAAATTTGATTTTAAGATTTACCAGCGAAACAAAAAATTGAGCTATTGATCCTGTTTTCTCAAATTGGTATATTGTTATCAAAAATTTTGTCAGAATCATTAATAACTTCGAATCAAAAATAAGCAAAGAAAACAAAATTTGTAAAATTTGAATCTGAATTAATCATGAAAAACAGAAATTCGAAGTTCTGACTTCAGCACTATGAAACAAAGATGATTAGTACCTAGAGATTAATCGTTTTTGTAAATTTTAAAAATTGTAGTGGAGGGTTTGCTTGCGGTCAGGACTCTAGAAAAATGTTTTTGGAAAAGCTCTTAATGAAATTTCTTTCATTCACAAACTTTTGTCAATTGAGTCTTCTGCGGAGCTTTCAAAATTTTTTGTATTAGAAAAGTACAACTGAATGGGATATTTTAGATTGATCGCGGAAAACAAACAGCAAGGCAACCTAAACAAACCAGATACTCAAAATGAATATATAAACAAGGACAGCCGCTTGCCGTTTAAGTAGTACAGAATTTTCTTTTATTTTCTTCAAATTGGTGTCGTGTTTTGTGCGTGCTGAACTTTGAAAACCAAACAAAAGCTTAGAAAATTAGTAATTTTTCGGCACAATTGAATTGATATTTGTCAAAAAGTGAATGACATGCAAAAAAATATGAAATATTTTTCTAACTTTTTGCACATTAATTTATTTTTTTTGCCCAGGTGAGAGAAATTACCAAATTATTTTTAGTGCAATCAACTTTGTTTAGCCTAGAAACTTAATCTACATTTAAAATTTCATGTAACGAGCATTATTCAATCGATTTACGCGTTCAACATTGAACAAAAGCTCAAAAATTTATTTGACTCTCGGAAAAACTCTTGAATAGTTTATATTGTTTAAATCACGACTCAAAGGACTTTAAATTGATTCCTCTCTCGAATTATAGGATGATTGTTTGTGGTTCTTGATTTTTTAAGAAGTTACGCCTGAATACAAAGTTTCTCCCCAATTTCATTGGTCGGAACAAAAGTCTTATTTCAGATTTGGGGCAAACCAAAATTCAATTGATGAGGATTGCAAATTCAAATAGCTATAACATTGTCATTAGGAAATTTAGCAACAACCCATGAAGCTAATCTAAAAACCGACATTCGAGGCGACAAAGAAAACAAAAATGGCTACGGGGTTTTTTCAGTTACTCCTGAAAACCAATCAGGAAATAAAATCAAGACCTCAGCTGATTAAATGGTTACATGTCATTTTGCCCCAAGTCAACTTGTCCCAGCCCAAATTGTCCGATTTCAACTTGCCCCAGATGACAACTTGTCCAATGCCATCTTGTCCCATTTAATAAAAAATGACACTTGCCCCAGATTCTTTGATAACCTCGTAGAACATAATGTCGGCATAAATATGAAAGAATTTTTTGTCGAACAATTAAGGTTGAAACAAAATGCGGAATCATTTAAAAATGCGCTGAATCAAAATTAATTCAAAGCATGCATGAAAAAAATGAAAGCGGCAAAATGTCCATGCAATTTCATGTCGAGTTAAATATTTCAAAAGATAGATTGCTGATTTTGTAAGTTTCTATAGCATAGTTAATAGTGCACAACACTCTTAATAAAGAAGTCAAGAGTTCAAAATTTGAAGAAGTCAAAAAATTTTAGTATGAAATCGATGAAATGGAAAACCGCAGGTACTGCCTCGCCCCTTAAACACCCCTATACTAGGTAACCCAGAATAGGGGGTAGGGTGAGGTAAAAAGCAAAATTATTGCAGTATTGGCCTCTATCATCTCTCAAAATTTGGATCCTGAACGATGGCTATAAGTTAAAAAAATGCTGATTTTTTAAAAATCAATTAAAAAATGCAACAAAATGCCGACAATTATGTGGAAATTATGCCGACAATTTCAAAATTACGAAAGAATTAAATGAGCTAGCGCATATAAATAGTCAACAACACGGTCTTTGTTGAAATTACTAGAAATGTTTTGGATTTTTTCATGAATGTCCCGATATTTCTTCCGCCCTTAATTCTGTGTTCCCCCCATAGCCTTCAAAATGTTGAATTTCTGATTTGTTGAGTCCATTTGAATCTTATTCAAGAAAGTGTAGAGGCTTGGGATAATGCTGTCACTCCAAGATGCCAACGACTTCAACGGCGTGCTCATTTTTTGTTGAGACGAGTTCATCTCCTTCTGTGACGGCGAGCATGCGGCATTTGTGTGAACTGTATCTTGCGCATCTCCAGTGTTTAGTAGTTTTTGTCGTCTGCTTTTTTGTGAAATCGTGTCCGTCAATAATTAGCGTTCGTTTGTTTCGTTGAGATATTCTCCACGTAAGTTGATTCATAGTATTTATGTTGAAGTATTTATGTTGAAGTATTAATGTCGATGTTTAAGAACGAAATGGTAAACAATGAATCAAAATGAAAGAATAGCCGTGTTTCATTTTGTTTCAGAGGCGCTAGTGTGGATTATTGTCAAAATTAGGCGTGTAATTACCAGAAATTATGGTTTTTTAGGCTCAGCTTCGAATATTTTCGATTAGAGTCTTTTGTTATCTCGAAACGAGTCCAGTGTACATTAGCACTTTCTGGTCCTGAATTCGAACATCAATGAATCAAGTAAAAGTGTCAAGTATGGGATAAAACGGCATAGGACAAAATGTCATGTGGGGCAAGTTGGCATAGGACAAGTTGGCATAGGGCCAATTGACTTGGGGCAAATAGTCCTGACACCGATTAAATATTTTGAGAGCTTGGTATCATAAGCTTGTATCTGCTTGCCTCCAAAAATCAGTGCCGAAAGTACAAAAAATTATTACGATGTTGTTTTGCACAAATTGGTTTGGAGTTTTTGACTGTACAATTAACCGGCCATCAACGTTTCATAAGGGAAAAAATGATGCATCCTTCAAACTCTTCTAATTGCGAAACGTATTAATTGATAAGTGGATGCAGCTTCAATGCAGAATACCATCAACTTGCATTGAACCATTGTATAAGAAACACTCTTCGAATCAATAATTATTTTAGATTAAAATGAAATATTTTTGGTCTCCGAAACTTAAAAAAAATCACTGTTTTTTTCTGGATTTTTCTCAGTGGTTGACTTTTTCAACAAACTTTTTGTCAGAGTTATCAACTCACAGATTAAATTGAACAAAGCACTTGGACAAACACTTGGCACTTACATGTTACTGGCAGAGAAGGGACTCGTTTTTCTTTTCATGACCCGAATGAATAGTAGTTGCATATCTTCGCCTACGCTAAACAAAACCAAAAAACAGCTTCTCAAAAATCTAATTTCCAATATATGTACTCATATAAAATGAAAAATCAGACCAATATCATTTCGTCCAGATTGAAACCAAAACTATATCGATTGCTTTGTCCAAAACATAACTAATAATCACTCCGTTTTTTGTGTCAGCAAATCAAACAGCTGGACAATCAAAGCACAAAAATAATGTTAGAAACCTTAAATTGTAATTCAATTGTTGTAGAAATCATTTGCTTAGCAAAAAACTGCTCATATCAGCTCAAAGAAAAAACAAACATCAAACGCTTCTTCAAATCCGACAACAGCGAAATACCTGTGAAAACCAACAACTGATTTTCCAAAAGCCTCAAAATATTCTTAATATAACAATTAGTTTCATTCCGCGTGAAACTGGTTTCTGACAATAACCCTTTTCAAAACTGCCTGTCTAAGCTTTCCATGTTGCTTGAGCATTCCATTAAAAACGAAGTATCTCATTCATCGACATGGTTGAAAATATATTTTTTTGGTTAGAAGTTCCTTCTAACTGCTATCAGAACTTCACCTGGATTGATTTGTGTGAATAACCTCGACATCTATTTAGATGAATCTAAGCATTTTAACTAGTTTTTTTTTCCATTCCAGCGTTTTTTAGGACGATCAACGTCGTGGATACTTACAGGAAAGAAAAAATCGAACGCTGCTATTTATTTGAATCGAAACGAACAAAGTCGAAAAAAATCAAACAAGCATTTAGACCTTCTGGAGAAATTAGTAAAAGTTTCTATGGACCTTGTCAGGATGGTTTTTATGGAAGGAAGATAATTTTTCTAGGCAGAAAATCAATTGCTTACTCAGAAAAAAAATATAGAAAGAAAAACACAGTTAAGCTTCAATATGATAAAACCAGGAGTGGATCGAGGATTTTCTCAAAGGGGGGGGGATTGTCAAAATTTGGAAAATTTTTGAAAAAACAGGTCAAAAAAGCCGTTTTTGGGCACTTTTTGGACAAGTTTGACAAAAAATCGCGTTTATTTGGCGCGCGCTCCCTCTCAAAGTTAGTATATATTGGCGCCCTTAGAAAAGTTGTGGGGTCGGTCGGCAAAAAATTGATTTCTTAAAAAGTACCAATGGGGGGCCCTTTGGGTTTTATCATAAAACTATTCATAATTAATTGAAAAAGCATTGAGTTCGAAAATTGATATGAAAACTGATAGTTTTGACCAATGCTACCTCCCATATTCTTGTTAAAAGAGTTAAAAAGCTAGCGTTTTTTTTTAAATTTCAAGATCTTTGAAATCATTTTTTTCGAAAAGACTATAGAGAAAGAAAGCCCACCCAGGAGCGCCAATGTAGATTCTTTTCCGGGGAGTCGTCTCCTCTAAGCAGGTTTTCACTCTTACTCAACTGCCGCAGAGTTTCTCCCCTTTATACCGTGTAATGGCGGGGGACACTAAGACACGATATGATCCACAATCCCGAAAGGGTTATGTTGGTGGTCAGACTAAATCGGCCGATCAAAGGATTACGCAACTTCCCCCTTAATTTAGGCTCTTTTCGGCTCTCCTCTTGCGCTTCTAGCTAGTTCAGCAAATCGTGGGCACATTGAGTAAATTCTCAATCGCAAAGGAAATAAAACAATTTACAGTGCCCTTAATGAGCTAACTACTATTTAG